TTAGCTCATATTTTGATTAGGAAAAGAGATAGCAATTTTTCCTTTTTAGAATTCAGACTACCGCGAGATTATCGAACAATAAAATGACACGGTAGCCAACACAGATTAAAAAATTAAGGCAAATTGGTTTTATTTGGTAGGTTAACGAACGTATAAGCGTTGAATGATTTTTAACAAAATACGATTTTAATGGTAATTTATGGACTACGGCCTACAATCAGTTAATTACTGAATCTATTAATGGTTTATAAAAATCCGTTTTAAGCGAAGATGAGAAGCCCAACTCAATTTGTCATACAAACTACTCAGAAAACAAAAAAAAACTATTCTTTTTCAGAAAAAAAAAACATTTCTTCATCGCCTCCATCGCCGCCGATGGATGCGCCGATGTCTTCATCTCTGACCGGCGTCAAAGATTTCCTGACGCAGATTCTAGGCACCAGAGCTACAGCCTTGAGAAGAATCAGGGAACATAGCTTGTTACCAGAGCTACAGCCTTGAGGAGAAGAAGTGGGATACTCCCATATACCTTGAGAGGTTTCATCCAAATTCATCAGTTAATGTCTCCATAGGGAAGAAGATATTCATGCTAGGTAGAGCTTGTCCAATTGTCTTTGATTCAAGGAATGGGCAGTACACAAAATTTGATATGCATTCCAATATGTGTAGTGATGCTTGTGTCATCTGTGAGAAGTTGTTTGTGTATTACTCATGGGAGAGATTAATGGTGTACGATAAGAATGGAAATTTGTTTCGGATTTGGTTATAAACCGTTAATAGATTCAGTAATTAACTGATTGTAGACCTTATATTAAATCATCCTCGATTTTAATGGTAATTTATGGACTAGGGCTTACAATCAGTTAATTATCAAATGAGAATGTTTGACAAAGGAAGAAGTCCCACATCGGATAGAGGAAGTGTGTGTCTTCTTACTTCCTTGTATAAATAGAGTGACAGTGGCATCGTAACATTCCAAGTTGCATCTCGGTTAAAAAAAAAAAATGATGATAAGTCATTGCAGGAGGTTCACCGTCAGAGGACGGTTAGAACGATGAGTCATGATATCAACATCTGAGTTTTTATGTGCGAATCTTATTCACAGCGACTGGTTTTTTATCCAACGATCAAACTACTCCATTGATGTTATCTCGGTAAAGGAACAAACAACCTTTTATTTTTCACTATTTCAATTGTGATTTTAAGGTGAATTCAGTAAATTCTGATTGGTTATATGCAGAAAAGAGAAAATTGAGGCTTTAAGGATCAAACTAAAACAAACAAAACATAGTATGTTAGATACAAATTGAAATCAAATAATTCAAATCACAACATCAAAAAGACACATAGGATACAAATTTAACTCATCTAAATCAAATCGCGGCATCAAATTGAGCAATCGACAACTTCATATGAAAAAGAAACAAATCAAACAAGGAAATATCATAAACGTAAATTAACTAAAACAAATATAAAAGAATGAAAAATCATGACAAATATTTATCTAGAGAAAGAATAACAAATCTATGTTTAGCAATACGAGTATTCAATTTTTTTTTTTATAAATGCTCTCTTTTCCTAATCAAAATATGAGCTAAATTAACGAAAATGTGATCAAAATATATAATTTTCCCAAGAACAAAAATTGCGTTCCCAAACAGACGATCAATGA